AAAATTTAATTCTTTTTAAAAATAAATTTTGGAATTCTCTACATTTTAATACACATTATATATATAATTAAAAATAATAATAAAATTTTTCTTAGATTTAGAATTTAGCCGATTAATTCATCGTTGGATTCGTGAGTTGTCTCGCGAAGGATTTATGGCACTCGGGACAGAAATATCGAACATGCGAGAAATATCCTATTACGAGAATCGAATTGTACGTCCTCTTTTTGTAGTATTCTTATCGGACAATGAATCGATTATAAAATTTTCCAAGAGTACTCGAAACTTCGACATGTCCTCAGCCTACTGGTACGTCATATTTTTACCAGGATACAATCAAAAGGATTATTGTCCTATACCAAAAGGTAATCCCTTCAATCTTCTCTTCAACACTGAGATGCTGGTCTCTTGTCCAAAAGACAAGATCATGCGGGAGTGGTATTCTCTGAGAACTAATCAAACTAAAGTATTCGAATTGGCTGAGTGGGAATCTGATGGAACATTAATGCTTTTAAATGAACTTAGTTTATACGAAAGGAGAAACAGTTTGGAAGGTTTAGTCATTCCAGCTGTTATTGTGCTGGTAAGCAAATATTTTCAACTATTTCAAAACCAAATTTTTATTCCGTTAGAAAATTTCAAATCAACATTGTATATATTTATTTTTAAAACAATTTCTCTTATAGAAATAAAGTTGTCAAAGAATTGAAGAGAAAAAGAGATTAAATTAATATAATTAATATTTAAATAGAATTTTGTTAACATTTCAATTAAAATTTCGTGTAAATATTTCAGAGCAATCCTTTCATCAATATGGACGAAAATGGTAAACTGACTGGTTCCTGTGGTAAAATATTATTAGAGCTTACCAGATTAGTTAACTTTTCTTTCGTTATTGTCAATGAATCTTCGTCGAATGGTAGATGGAACGCTAAGTATAATTCGTGGAACGGTGCAGTAGGTGAATTGGTTGCCAATCGTGCACAATTTACAATATCTTTCGTGTCCATGAGTAAATCCAGATCAGAAGTTGTTGATTTTACTTTACCGTTCATTCTTTCATCTACTTCGATGTATATCAAGGAACCTGATGTTTCCAGTGTAGAATGGTCCAATTATTTTCGAGTATGTATTAAATATTTCTTTACATTTACTTTTTATTTCATGAAATTCATTTTCATACACACACATTTACCTTATTTTTCGCTCTTGTTATTTCTTATGTTCTTTATTTTGTCTTTTAGACATTCAATTATAAAATCTGGATATCTTTGATCATTTTAATCTTGACGACACCGATTTTGTTGGCATTCATGAAAATTATTGCCAAGCAACGTAAATTCGTGTCATTGTTTTTGGATTCTTATCTACAAATTTGGGGTATTTTTTGTCAACAGGGACTCGATGGTAAATTTATAGAATAAAGTGTGTCTACATATATCATTCGCTTTAAATTCGATGTAATATCTTGGTGGTAAAAATATAATTTTTTTGAAGCCTTTAAAATGTATAAATAAATGATTTTTTTATCTATTTTTAGAATTTCCTCAAAGGTTCTCTCTAAGATTGGCATATTTTTCATTATTTCTTTCGGCTTTTATAGTCTCGTCAGCTTACTCAGCTTCGTTGATATCTTTTCTGACAAACGTTATCAATCGTTTACCATTCTTATCGATGGAGGAATTTGTAAAAGATGGTACTTACACATTAATTTCACCTAAGGACAGCTTGGAATACGATGTATTCGCTGTAAGTTATTTAATAAATAATCTTTTATATTTTTTTTATATTATTTACATTTTTCATCTTTTTTTTTTAATTTACTAAAACCATTTTGTATATTATTATATCCAAATATTTATGAATATATAAATAAAGGCAGCAAATATTGATCGTACGTGATCGATACTTTAATTTGTTAATAAACATTTATAGAATTCGAAACAACCGTTAGCAAAGAAAATCATGTCTTTTATGAAACCCGAAGAAAAATTACCCTTAACGCATCTCGAAGGATTTTTTCAGGTAATTATATTTAAAAAAAAATATATATTGTATTTATTAATTATCGGGTTGTTCGATAAGTAATATCGTTTTACGTAGAAACGAAAAAATTGTTTTTTTGTTGAAAATTGAAAAAATGAAATTACTTTTCGAATGACCCAATATTAAATCATTTGAAAAAAAATATAACGAGTTTACAGGTTTGTAATGAACGTAATGTAGCGATGTACGTGTCAACCGAAGTAAGAAACGTTCTAGATCCTGAAATACCTTGCAATATCGCACGCATTAATCTTGGTCATATAGATAGTGTATCATTAATGTGGTCGAAAAAGAATCAATTTCTCAGTCTGATAAATCATCAGTAAGTAATAAATAAAAATCAAGAATAGCTAAATTTTCTATGTGTATTAATTAATATTAAAAAAATTTATTGCACATAACAATTCAAGAAATGATTGTATTATAAAATAAAATTATTAACGAATGTTGCATTATTTCAGTATATTTAAAATAATGAGAAACGGTATGATAACACGAATAAGAAACGGTTATCAAATTAAAAAAAAGTTTAAAAAGAAACTAGATTTACATGGTTTACAATTTTGGAGTATTATACCGATTTTATCGTTTTTCAAAATAGGAATTGTCCTAAGTGTTTGCATGTTAATCATAGAAAAATGTTATTTTGCGCATGGTAAAAGAAAGAATGTTATAATCAAAAATGGGAGAGGAGGAAAGAAATTAAAATTACGAAAATATTTTATTTAATATTAGCTCGTTAGAAGTTTCTAATCAAAATTTACGTAAATATAATGTGTCCGATAAAAAAGTTACATTTCTTTTTAACTGTAATGATGATTTTGAAAAGAAAAAATTGAATTTCATTGGGTCAGTATGTTTAAAACTTTTGTAATTATTACTTATAATAAAATATTAATATGCATCAATCAATAACTTGTAAATAAAATTCTGAATTTATTTTTAAAATAGTGACAAATGATTATTTTTATTGAACAAAATGTTCGCATGCACAAAATACTTGCCAAATAAATAGAAATAATTTTGAAACCTTATCCATCATCTTCCTCATTCACTCTCATATATAAAAAGAAAACACGAGAGAATTAAAAAATGCAATTCTTCGAGAACCAAAGAATCCAACGAAAATCCATATGTTGTAGGAAAAAAAATCCAAATATAAAAGTAAAAACCCGACACTTGTCATATGTAGGTATGCGTCGTTTAGAAGAAAGAAACCGTACACTATTTTCTCAACATTTTCTCTCAAATCTTTTTCCCATTTCCCATATGTGTCTGATATCATGCGGTCGACGACGGTCAGGCCAACACATTAACGATGTTTCATATGTAATATAGTGGGAATGATGTGAATGGCGTTCGTGATGATAGTGGTTGCCAGTGGAAAATGATGGAAATATAATTCGCAGCTTGTTCGTAATTTTCCTGATAGAGGCAACCTTTATTTTTTATCTTCTTTTCATTTTTCTTTTTTCTTTTTTTTTTCTTTTTTATCTTTGGCTCATCTCTACGTTAGATAAAAATGCAACGACCAACGCAAATATTACATTGATACATTTGACACACACACATAAATACACATATATACCATAAATACGTACACGATAGTAATATATAAAGTACATAATATAGAAAGTAGGTGATCAAGGAATAAAACCGTATAATACTCTCGTATAGATAGAAACACGCATACACATATAAATATATATGTGTGTATATATATATACATACATATAGGGTGAGGTATTTAAGACAGGTCACTTAAATAATACGATTTTTATTAATTGATAGAACAAAATGTGTTACCCAATTCTCACGATATTTATTTCAATTCGAATTCTTTGATAAATACCTGAGAATTTGTGCGAAGGAAATAAAATCAAAACTAACATTCTTTCTTTTTTAAACGCTGTTACTATTAAATCTAATAAGTAAATTTATCGGTAAGTCATTAGTTGATATTTTTTTTTGTTAATGAATGAATAAAGGAAATATATACGTAAGGTCAATTCTATCTTTTTAAATAAAATAATATATTAACATTTATTTACTATCAAATTCTTCCCCCTTGAGATATTTATTATTACAAAAAGAAATAAATTAAATACTATCAATAGTAATGTAGTTATTCAGATGGCTTGTTTTAAATGTCTCACCCGGTATATATGTGAATTTGTATGTATGTATGTATATGTTTATATACAATAGATCTTCGGAAGTAGATAAAAACGAGCGTGGAAAAACGACAATCACCTTTCAGTCGTTCAATTCAATCACGTGTTCGTAGTACACCGGACACCTTTCGAACTCCTTCTTATCTTTATTGAAAAAATTGTATCATGTTATTTTCAACCTTATTGTTACTTACATTACATTGTTAAGCGTTAAAGAAAATAAGAAATCAGATTTAATTGTATTAGTCATGAGACCAACATGTCTCCTATAATTTATTGCGTTTTTTATATCACATTCACTGGTATCATTGTCATTGGTTTAAGTTTAACCACTCATGATCATATTTTTCTTATCACCCAAGTATACACCCATTACGAAACCTCGTGTGTGTTTTTTGTGAAGAGTGGTTATTCCGATAGTAAGTGAAAATGAAGTATATTTTGATTAAATAATTAACGGTTTGGTTTACATTTATTTGGACAGTATTTTGTTATACTTTTTTGTTCAATGTTAACATGTCTCACATCTATTTTAAAAAGATAATTACGTGGTATAATTTCGCATATATGAGTCATGATGTAAAAACAAATTTCTTTTAAAAATGACTCATATGCAACGTTAACAGTTAACTGGTCAAAATAAATGGTTTGGTATAAATATATTTTGTTTGTTCATATTTTTTTTAAATGAATTATTTGAATATTTGATTATAAATATTAGAAAAAATCGATTTAATATATAGGAACCATATAAATGAATTTTGTAATGGTTCGATAGACATGCAAATGTCAACTATGATCCACACATGGTCACGTGAACTCTCTCGACAAGGAATCCTATCTATCAGTATCAATTTCACGGATCTAGCCATGGACAATAAAAAATATAATCCGACGTCAAAACCATTGTTCGTTATACTTCTTTCTACGTGGGAGAATTTCGAAGAATTCTCGAAGGTCAGCAAGGAACTCGAAGTATCCTTGTTCGTTTGGTTCGTATTATTTATGGAGACACCAGGTAACCCGATGGAAGAATTTTGTCAAAATCCTATTGGCAATTTTTTCAATCTCAACTTTGATACGGAGATGTTAATTCTTTGCTACAACGAAACGATATTAAAGGAATGGTAGGTTATTTCGAATGTTTAATGTCATAATATTTCATGTATTTTGCAATTTACTTTATATGTAGATGCAATTATTTTTATCGAACGTTAGGTATTCCGTAAAAGGTAATAACACGATAACTTCTAATTTTGCTACTTGGAAACCTGGAAATTATTTTTCCGTAATTAGCAATGAAAGCCTTTACGGTCGGAGAAGCAACCTTTTTGGAGCAGTTTTACGCATTGGCACAGTCAAAGTATAATTCATTTATAAATTCTATAATAATTTACATTACGAATCACACAAAACGATTAACTCCAGTTGTTGAATTCTTTTTATATTTTACTATCAAACCATTAGATCAATACTTAACTTTTTAATACTTACATTTTTCAATCCCTACGTGATATATAAATGTTTATTGTATTTTTATGTTCAGTAATAAATCAAAGATTCTCTACTTTTTGTTTAGGGAAAGTTAATCGATTTGTCAAATGAGTGATCCTTATATATAAACATAATAATCATTACGAATAGGATTCCTCGTTTATCGGGACAAAAAATAATAAGCTGACCAAGTTACTAGGAGTAATAGTCATGGAATTAAGCAAGACGATAAACTTTACTATCGAGGTATTGGAGCCTGTTGATGCTTATGGCAGTTGGGACAAAGAAAATGAAACTTGGAACGGAGTGATCGGACAATTGGTTTCCGGTGAAATTGATTTAGGTGTAGCTGAATTTACAGTGACGACTAATAGAATGGAAGCTGTCGATTTCACCTTGCCATTTTTACTTTCGCGTAATCGATTGTATATGAAAGAAAATCCTGGTTCTGTTATTAATTGGTCCGCATATTTCAAGGTTTAATTTCATCCAAATATTATTCAAATAATATTAATTATTATATTTATATTCGTTGGTCACCATATTACAAAATTTATTTACATTGGAAAATTATTAAAAACATATATTAATATTTGTAATTTAATTGTCTCTAATTTATTGCGTTATTATATAAGTTTTATTTTTTTTCCAGACATTTAGTCCAGGAATTTGGGCAATAATAATTTTAATGATAACGACGACGCCCATTTTATTGACCATAATTAAGACAAAAAGTTTTTACATTTCCGGATCTGTTTTGTCAGAAAATTATATACACGTATGGGGTATTTATTGTCAGCAAGGAATATCAGGTATCTGTATATGAGTTGATGAAACAAAAACTAAATAAACTATTTATATGTGAGAGTTCTTATATTATTATGGTTTCAATGCATTATTATACGCTTTCAGAATTTCCCACCGATTCTTCTTTACGTCTGGCTTTCATCTCCATCTTCGTCTCGGCCATAATAGTCTCGGCTGCTTACTCGGCTTCTTTAATTAGTTTCTTGACCGTGACCACAAACAGTTTACCTTTTTCCACTCTCAACGATTTTGCCAACGATGGTTCCTACAACTTGATTGTTTTCGGCAACAGTGCTGATTACGACCTCTTCGCGGTAAATTTATCATGAATAAAATACAATTCAACATTTCTTTATTATTTATTTTCTTAAATATAATGAACAAATTTCTCATTATTTTACTCAGAATTCCAAAGATGAAGTTATCATCCAAATGATGAGTTTAATGAAACCGAAAAATAAATTACCAACCACTTTATCTCAAGGATTCCATGAGGTATCTTAACACTAAAATATTATCAACAGTAAAGAATTATTTTAATCGTGATTATAGTGATATCTCTAGACCAGAGATTCTCGAACTTTTCCACTTGACGATCCCCTAAATTTTGTTGACCCTATATAGAGTCGATAGGGTCGTAACCGACACTTTGAGAAACCTTTCTTTAAGTAACAACTGTTATATCTGGAAAAATGTATTTATACTTAGTTGTTCGTATTAATACAAGCATTTTCATTTTTTCCATAGGTATGTACAGAGAAAGTGGCCTTCTACGCAACCGAAGAAGTAAAAAAAGCAATAAATCTTTATCTACCATGTAAAGTTAATTTTATAGAAACTGGTAGATCCGATAGTCTGGCAATGACTGTGCCAAAGGGTAGCCCTTTCAAGGGTATCATTAATTATCAGTAAGTTCATTACTTTTTCTTTTTATGATTAATGACGATCATTATTCGTAATTACAATAAATTTATTCATTTTTATAGTTTGCAAAAATTCATAGACAGCGGTATAATGAATCGTTTGAGAGGAATGTTCGTTGTACAAGTTAATTTATCGAAAATTATTCACACTGCTGTTACTTTGTGGGACATAACACCGATTTTGGCATTACTGATTGGTGGTGCCATTTTAGGTATCATTATTTTAATCATAGAAAGGTCTTATCATATTTGTCAAATTCAAAAAGAATTTGCAAAATTACAAGATGAACTTAACAAAGTAAAATTGAAGAAGATCATGCGAATGGATAAGAATTTTTATTTCGACAAGTTGAACAAAGCTCGTAAGGTGAACGAATTTAAACCATCCGTTGGTTATTTCCCATGATTCGGTTTTAAACCAATCATTGGTTTCGAAAAAAAAGGTATATCGATCTATTCATCATTTTTTATTTAACTTTTTATAAAAGTTTAATATAGGAAAAAGAAAGTAAACCTTGCTAACTGTGCATGAATATTTTATTCCATTAAAAATATATGCCCAAGTATAGTATTCGTATATAGAAAAAGAAAATCAATCGACCCACTTTTTAGAAATCATTAACATTTGCAATTTATTAACGTTTTAAAAATCATTCGGTCGTTCTGAAAGTAATTTCGTTTCTCGTACAAACGAATTAAAAAAAGAAAAAAAAAAAAAGAACGAATTAAATTTACCGAGGAAATCTAATATAAATCAAAATATAATGATAATAATATATATAAAAAAATCGTATTAATATATTACATTTTCACTCACAAAACAATCGTGTGTTTCAGTTTAATCTATTTATTCAATATTTTTAATACTTATCTTATCTTGTGGGAAAATTAATAAATCGCGACTGAAGTATGTAAAATGTTTGTGTTATGTTTTGTAAAACAAGGAAAAGAAAAAGAAAAAAAAAAAAAAAGCAAAAGAAGTAAGGAAACCCGCGATAGGTATTATAAATGCATATAATAATCCATGAAATTGAATTTTCTCATACCGCGCGTGAAATCGCTTTCACTTTATGCATTACTAGCAAGAAAACCTATCTATTCGTCTTATCCCACCGAGAGTGCAATATAATTAATTACAAATAGATTTCCGCATATCGTTTCGCTCTCTCAACTGTAAATATTTATACAATGTGTTCCGTAGTTTGTAAAGACCAGCTGTCCGTCCGTCCGTCCCTCAGTTTCTGTTAATGTTTGTTTGTTCCGCCAGTCACGAAAGCAAATAATTCGTCATGCACGTTTCAGTTTAACACGAGCCTTGTCAATTTTCGACAGAATCAATTCGAGAATCGATCAAGCACCGAATAACGCGTACTACAATTCATTTCCAAAGAGTGGAATGGGTGGTGGGAGGGGTGGCTCGTTAGAGAAAGGGGTAGAAACGCACGTAGAGAATTGTCGACAGTTTTTCGATTTTATCGTAAAGGGGTTAGATAATTATTATTAAAATGCATTACTCTTTCTCACGAGGGAATAAAAAAGACCTCCCTTTCGTTTTATTTAATCGAGATCTACTGATTTCATAGATTGTTTTTTTTTTCTTTTCTATTAAACACTTCGTTATTTACTTTAACGTTAATGAGATTGTAATCCGTTATTTCATTTTTATTCTTTCATTTTCCTTTTTTAATTTGTTATCTTGCATCGTTATTGTTATACGAAATTTATGATATATTAGAATTATTTTTTTTCCCTTTTTTTTTTTATGTTTTTAGAACACTTTCATTTAATTTAGATGGTATTTGAAAGATACATAATATAACATACATGAAAAGATAATTATATAAGATTATTAAATACACACTTCTGGGTATATTCAATACCAAGAAATATTTAGAGAAGTTAGATTTACGTGTACACGTGAAATCATAAAAAACGTCTTTGAACTGTGACCTTTGGAGAAATTCGCCCACGTAACTTCTTCCCACGCGAAATGCAATGAGTCTTCTGATTTAGAAGAAAATGAATGTTTACTTACGTTACTTTATAGATGTCATGATTATGTCTAATCAAAAGCAAAATATATATATATATATATATATTTGAAATTGATAAACATGTATATTCATTTATTTCAATTTATGGTTAACATAATAATCAATAATTGCTGATTTAATGATCAATCGATCATCGATACTAAATAATCAGGAATAAAATAATTTCAATTAAAATACACGAACAAGCGTACGCATAATAAATAAATATATGTGTACCAATTAATTGAAATTTATCACGAAAACCATTTACGTTAATCATGATAATAATATCTGATTAATGATCTATCGATCTTCGATGTTTAACAATCGCGACGGGGTATAAACACAAAATTCCGTTATAAAAATATATTTAAAATATTTTCGCATTTTTAAAGCACACGTACACACACATACACGCTAAATAAAAATTTCTATACTAATTAATTTGTACTCGTTCTAATTATTAAAAACATTTATTAGACGTAATAATGGATAATAGATAATTGATTAGCTGATTTATCTATGATTGATTGGTAGATCAATACTTAATATTTACGATGCGGTAAAAAATTACCCCGTTAAAAAAGAAAAAAAAAAAAAAAAAAGAAGATCTCCAAGTGTGTCTGCACTTATTGTTAGAAACGCATCGGTGAGTGGTGCGCAGTGCGCAGTACTTATATTAGTGCGTTACGCACTCAGGTGTTACGAGGAGCTATCGCTCGAGCTACCACCGGATATGGAGGAGCACGCGCTGTGTTTCCGTTTTCTGCATGACCGGAAGTGACCTTTCGCTCATTAAAAAAAGATCCACGTCATTCCCCTCAACCATCTATCGACATTGAATATAACTGTACATACGATTATACTCTCGATTCATACTTTCTACATCTTACAAAAAGTTCTCATTTTTATTCAATTTTTTTGCAAAAAAGAACAAAAAAGAAAGAAAGAAGAATCGTGTAGATAAGAATAAAAATAAAAATAAAAAGACCATCCTTTTGAAAATTTGCAATTAAAAAATAAACGTTTATTTATTTCGTCATTTTCATGCAAGAATTTCATATTCGATTTATATATATTTTTCATTATTCTAATAAAGATTTTACGTTTAATTATATAAAAATGGTATTTTTCGTTGTAAAGCGTCAAGAATTTTAGAATAAATGTTCGATGAAAATTGTACAAGACTCTCGGAAAATAAATTGTGACACAAAGCTAAGTTTTCTGCATGCATCTTCTTCATGTAATTGATTGCTCTATTTTTAAAATTGTTCATCTTTTTTTTTCTTTCTATTTAGTTAATTAAAACAGGTCTTCTGATGAAACATGTTTTACATATAGATAAATATGATTAACTGTACATCTATATAATGAACACATGAAAAATAATAATCATTTTCCTCGGTCGAAAGACAACATGTAAAAGTATACAGTTTTCAATGCACGTGGTTTTAAGAGAGCCATTGCTGGCACGTTGTGTCATCTCTGGGCGAGCCCAGAATGCCATTATCTTTGGTGCAAGCATGTTACCAAGTAAGAGACATAAATAGAGAGACAGAGAGAGAGAGAGAGAGAGAGAGAGAGAGAGAGAAAGAGAGAGAGAGAGAGAGAAAGAGAGAGAGAGAGAGAGAAAAAACCGATTCGATATATACCTTCTCGTCTTAAGAATAATTGCGAACCAGGAAACGATAATTTATATGTATATCTATAGATATACTTACCAGTCGTGCTAATGACGAAGAAGATAAAAAAAAAGGAAATAGAAAAAATGTGATAACAATAGGCTGACTAACATAGTGTCTGCCATATTACACATTCTAAAGAAAACGAAATATTTTCGAATACTTATCTTTCAAATAAATGCTATTGTTTATTATTATAAATATATGAATAATTTTATTTGATGTATTTTACTTGTGAATTAATATTAATTCTTGATTGCATCTTCTTTTATGAATAGAAACAGTTGTTAATAAATTTGTTTAAAAATATTGTAATTATTCTGCTTAACTTTTGCGCACCCCCTCCGCGATAGGGAGATATTCTGTATATTATTATATTATTATATTATAAATATATTTGTAAACACAATAATATTTGGTATTAAGATATAATTTATAGAGATTCTGAAAATGATATAAGAAATAAAAAATCTGTTTTATATATGTAAGTAAAATATTTATGAGTATATACTAAACGTTTGAACATCATCCTCGAACGTTCTTCTCTCTCGACTTTTTCCACGTTTCAGATATATCACGTTCGAACTTTCAAAGAACTCTAACTATGTGTAGAAGTTCTATGTGGGAGTAAACATGTATATGTGTCTACATTTGTATTAGTGATTTTCACTTTCAAACTGTAGTGTAATATGGCATCATCAAACAAACGAGCTGCCGCTGTTTAATGATCTCGTGCAAAAGACCAACGTTTATTATTTTTATTCGATTTTTTTATTATTATTATTATTATTAGAAATTATAGTTTCTTTCTTTCTTTTTTTTTTTCTTTTTTTAATCGTCTATTTTGTTGTTATTGTTGTTATTCACTTCCTCATAATCTTCTTGGAATAAATTATATTTTTAAACGTTAGCTCAAATAGAAAACATGTTCATTTTATACACTTTCGAAGTATTGTTGTATACGATTGGTGTGTTAGTAATTAGAATAAATTTTGTCCATAAACGTTCCAATTATCTTGTCATGTTAAAAAACAATGAGAGGTGATAATAACGTACAAAGAAATTGTAAGTGAGGAGACAATACTTATGGGGATACGGTTCATTAAATTTTTTAACAATTGAACATAAAATTCATGACGATGTTGAGGATGACGAAAAGAAATGAAAATTAGAAGAAACAAATGTTGACCAATAAAGTAGTCTCGAGAATTTTGCAATAATTTATATTCAAAAACGTAACACTATGAGATTATAATATTTTTATTCACAAATTTAGAAATGATTTATTTAACAATATATCAATTATTGTATGTAAAAATGATTAAAAAAATATTTGGAATGTATTGAAAATAACATTTTTTATTGGCCAACCAAATATAGGTATATCTTGTACAGTATACGCAAGTTTTTGATTGTTTAAAATATAATTATTTCGTAACGGAAAAGGAAAAAGGTTCAAGTCGAGGTAACGTCCAATCTGCGTTAAGATAAGTCTCTTCATTTTATCTAGAAGTATACGTGTTAGTTGAGATTTGACGATGATCGTGGGCGTATTCTCGTCCCTTCTCCGTTTCTATTATACCCTCTTTTTTCTTCTTTTTCATCTTCTTCTTCTTCATCTTCCTTTGACTTCACTCTTTCTCCAAATATTTATCTCCTTCTCGAGTCTCAAAATACGTTGTATTTTTGTTAAGTGTTAGGTCCCACGAAGAGAGAATTGAAGAGAATAGAAGTTTACTGATTAGGAAATCCAATGTTAATATTAAATAAAAATCAAAAAAAAGAATACGAGAGAGAGAGAAATATATTTTTTGTAAATAATTAAATTGTTCAAAGAGATTATCTCTCTAAATCATATAAAAAAAACAAAAGTAACAATAAAACATTTCTATTTTCTTTTAATAATAAATGAACTAACTATGTAACAAATTTGTAGTAATCAATACAGACTCTACATTCAGACATCTATCCATTCGAATAACAATTAATTAATTCTACGTTCTATAAACGTAATATATAAATTTCTACCCTCGATATAAAAATTCTATATATCCATTACAATCCACTTATAAAGAAATTGCATTATACTTTAACTGCTTGCATTAATACTAAAAGAAAAATGAAAGGAAATTATAAAAAAATACTCTTAATCAAAATAAATCCAAATAGGGTAAAGCCCACATAATCGAAATGAAGAAGAAAAAGAAGACGAATCCTTTAGTTATAATAATCATAATAATAATAATAACTAAACGAGATATGCGTTTAGAATAGAAGAAAGAATCGGTGCTCGTCTATCTCAATGCCATGCAGAGGCTTCTACAACCCACGTCCAACATATACCGGGTGTCGCGTGGGTGCTTCTGATTCCCCCGAGGCTCGTGCTTATGGCACGTGGTATTGGGGAGGTGTAGTGGGGAAGAGGAGAAGGGGTTAGAAGAGGAGAGGGTTTTTAAGAAGATTCTATCTTTCCTTACCCCACTCGTCTTACCGTCTACTTGTTTAAAGGAAAGGAAAGGAAAGGAAAGGAAACGAAGAGAGGTGTATATGCCTATCTACCACAACAGCGTCCACGTAAACGCGATTATGTTTCGAGTCTGGCAGACCCATTCAGTCCTTCTCACGACACGACGCGTCGTGAACACTCGCACAGAGTGACAGAAGAAGAAAATCGGTTTCAAAAATCGTGCTTTTGTTTTATCCTTTTTTTCTTTTTTTTTTTTTTCTTCTTCTTCTTTTGTATCTCTTTTATATTATTCATTTTAATTAATATAAACATATTGAACGTTTTTTTGATTAATTAAAAATTTTAAATAGATCGTATCTCGTACGTACGTTTGTTTTAAAATTTGAAAGTGTTTACAAGTTTTGAGAAGAAAAAAAGAAAAAAAAAAACAAAACTGATAAGACGATCAAGAAAACTAAGTGCAACGCGAGTGACTTTTGATTTTTTTTCTTCGGTCAGAATTTTGAACTTCGGCGTACTTGATTTGGGATTAAAACAAATAAAGTGCAACCCTGACGTTTTCACCGGGGGATTTTCATTTCTTTCTTTTTGTTTTTTTTTTCCTTTTCTTTTCTTTTGTATTCCTTCTTCTTCTCGGACAAGATTTTTGTTGGTCAAGTTATTTTATACGTCGGAGATACCACGATTAGGTGAGTTGGTGTTTATTTGAGCGTTAAGAAATCAAAGTGATAGGCTCTGTCGTCGGAATCTTCAACTTGATGTAAGATATCTTTCGAGAGTTGCAAGACGTCGTATCTCATCTTTTATCTCGTCAAGAGAGACGAGAAATTTGATGAACGTAATCTCGTCAGAGTTTTTTCTTGTCCTTCGTTCCGAGCAAAGAAATACGATAGACGAGTCTAATGTTTAACATTTTTATCATAGATCTGATATTTACGTGCATTTTGTTTGGTTGTTTTTTTTTTACGTGCTGAGTTTATCGAACAAATACTTTTATTTTCTTTTCTTTTTTTTTTTTTTTTTTTTGATTTCTGAGTTTTTTCTATTACAGTTAGTAAAGTAGCGTAAATTTATCGATTTTATCTTGGATACGGTAATTACCCACGCACGATTACGCGCTTATACATGAATTGTGCAACTCGAATCATCGCTGACAACTTGGTTGCATCTCCTTCTGTGGAGAGAAGCTATTTTTCCATGCATTTTTTCTAAGAAATACAAGTTACTTAACCCTAAATGCATAAATTAATGTTCATAATCTACATAAGTTATGTGTACAACGGTATACTTTTTTTTCTCTTTTTAAATATATCATAAAACAAAAATGACGATTATCAATTTTTTTCTCGCGATGCAAATATAAATAAAAATAAAAATGTATTGATTTTCAATGTTTCGTATTTAACTTTTCCTCCTTGAATGATTCGCGAGATGATTAAAAGTTCCATTTTGAAAAAAGTAGCTACAAGATCCGTGACATATTGAAAAAAAAAAAAAAAACACATCACATCCAAGGACACTTCTTTTTTTCTTTTTTCCATCTTATTACACTCGACCGCTCGAGTTTTATTAATCGTTTTAAAATGTGTTGACTCCTATATCCTTCGTAATATAACGCGGGGAATATATTCTCAAATGCATTTGAGATCGATTAATTCGAAATCTCTCGATCTATGAAACAAGATCTATTATATCCGAACACATAAATTAAAAAAATAAACAAGAAGAAGAAGAAGAAAGACATACGAGACGCCGCACAACGAGAGAGACCACCATGAATTTATCGTCATTTTGCATTATTCTCTTATTGGTCGGAACCATAATCCCGAGACCTAAATGATGCGCTTGATCGCGCGTTAACGAAAGCTTAAAAAAAAAAAAGGATGCGCTTTTCTACGTGGACATATAAAGAAAAATACGAAACATATTAAAAGCCATTTGAGAAAAAGAGAGAGAAATAGACAAGGGGTGGGGCTGGGGAGGGGGAGAGATTTGCATAACCAGAATCGGCGTTAATCAAGTACGACAAATGCATTCCGTTTCAACTTCGTTCTTACATTTCTATTTCTTTTTATTTCCCTTTTTAATTCATTTAACAGTCAGTAATATCGACTTTCAATTGCAATTTTTACTACACCCATTTATGTTCCTGTTTTTTTTTGTCTTTGTTTTTTAATTAAGTGTGACGTATTTTCTATACATGTGTTGGAATATAAAATGAATTATTCATTATTATTATTATTATTATAATAAAAATGTTAATATATCTCAAGTCTCATATAAGATTGAGACAATTGGATTAAAAATAAAAAAAAAAACGAAGTAATTATAATCTAATTATTCGGAAGAAAAAATATGATACGCATTGAAATCAACATAAATCAGATACAATAAGCGTTTAAATATCATACGTTATAAATTTCAATGTTTCTCCTCGTGCGAATATTGTTATATACATATATATATATATTGTAATTAAAAATAGAGCAACGACCGAGAATAATATTCGAAAGGTAGATTAATTTATCTACAATTAAGATATGGAAACGGATAATTTAACGAATTTAAGAGAAAATCATGTTGAGGAAAAGCCAAGTGCCGTTTTATGAATAAAACTGAAGGATTTTTTAATGGTAACTTTACCAAGATGGAATATCGGTCGTAATATTCCTCTAATGGAAAATTCATGAACTTTGTTTTTGTTGCAGAATTAACGAGAGAATCGTTGTCGGGGCATAGCGATTTCCGTTATTAGGATTCCTCGAGCGAAACGTAGAGCAGAACAAACGTTGAGTGAGAAAACGAGAATACGAGAAAGAGAAAAAGAAAGAGAAAGAGAAAGAGATTTAGATCGAGAGACCTAGAGATCTTAAGAGATCGACTAAGAGAAAGAAGGATAGGAAACTGAATGCATCGAGGTCGGGATACATATATCGTAGACAATCGAGTGCAACGCTGTTATTTTTCAAATCGCGTGCGTTACACTACGCCTCCTATCGAAACGCATCGTCCGTAACATTAGAGGTACGTAATTGTTAAGTTATTTCGCATCACGAGTTAGCCTTCTTTCATTATTATTATTATTATAATTATTATTATTACTAAGCTTATTAATTATAATCGATGAATCGATATCTTTAACTATTCTTTATAGATTCGATTGATTACCATTTAAGGATTTGTTTTTAATTGTAAGATCCAATGCTATAACATGAAAAGAAAAATATAAATTACATATTGATCTCTCATGATAAGTTTATTTATATAAGTTAAAATATATATTCTATTTTGTAGATTACATTTATTTTTCTTTAATGTAATTTGTCGTGTACTATGAAAAAAATAAGGAAAACAAATACAGTACACTATAAATGGATAATAAATAATAAATAAGTTAGATTTAGGAAGTAAACCTGAGATGGTAATCAGTCAAGCATTTATGTGCATACTTACGTATTACATATAGTAGATATATCATATATTTTTTAATAAAAAATTATATTAATATGTTTACTAAATAATTTAATTCATTATTTTCATATTATACTGTAAGAATATGAAAAAAAAAAGATCACTTTGAACAAATTATCTATCTTATGGAGAAAGAAAAAAAAAATGTTTATTTTTTACATATAATTTAATATATAATTAATTAAAATATATTCTCATATATCTCGATGAAAGTTATAGAATAAAACTGACAGAACATTGACCTAATACACATATAACAATCTTCTTTTTCACGTTATTCAATATCGTCGTTGTTTTACCTTAGTATGGCCTTATCCTTTCTCACAGTTTACTTCGGCACAATCGTTGAGCGAGGCCAACAGGAAATATATCTCCTTGTTGTATTGCCTACGGAAATATAAAGTAACAATTCGCATGCAAATAAATTGTTTATGAGATAAGTCGTTCAATAAATACGCTATAGAAAAATTCAAAACACAAAATAATCAGATCATTTAAATATCATTCGTACGAACAATTATAAGAAATGCATGAAAAATACAAAACTCACATTTGTTATAGTTATTCTTTTTTTTTGTTTTCTTCAACGACAAATTAAATATCGAATCGAATCAATATTTTTTTTTTTTAAAACAAAAAACCCATCCAAAAAAATTCCATCAATTTTATAAACGTTAATGCTGCACTTTAAACGTGTTTAATTTTTTTAAACGAGACCATAAAAAATGATCTATTAATTTTTATAACGATGCTGTGTTGCATTTCGTACGTGTTCTCAAACTATAATACATAAAATTAACTGCATCACATACGTCCGTTACTTGATACATAAAACACAAACACTTGTCGATATAATCTAATTATCTAACCAATACAAACCTAATTCAAGTACATAATGTAATATAAAAAAGGATGTACCTACCATACGTATAAGTAAGTATAATAAGTATAAGGCTTATTATAACGGATTCTTCATCGACATAAATCAATAATCATCAGATCGATCTATTTATCGATCATGCGTTCTCTTACAACAATCGTTCCGGACGATCGACCTCGGTGTCCATTTATGGCAACTTAGATCATTCCAATTCTTTTTCTCTCTCTCTCTTTCTCTCTCTGTTTTTCTATTTATCTTAGTCAGTCTCTGAACATATAATTAGAACGTGCAATACTCTTGCAGGGATTAGAGTAATTAGAATACGGGTGGTACGTACTTGACACGACTATTTGACGAGAGTTTCGAGACGAGAACGTTTAACATTTTACGGTGGTATAATACGCACACCTACACATATATACATATGTATATTAGTATATGTACATATATGCATATTCGATGTTTTGCGTGTCGTAAGATGGCCAGGTCGCTGCCTACATACTGACACCTACCTTCTATAAAACCTTCACAACTATGTACATGTATATTAATGTATATTCATGTTTATCATGCGTATGTGTATTCATGTGAGTATTCATGTGTATATTCACGTGTGTATATACGTATTTATGTGCGTACGTGCGTATATATTTGCGTATTCATATATATATATATATATATATATATATATATGTAGAAATGTATGGACGTTGACGTACTTCGAGCTTAATTCACGCCGATTAACGGTCATGCGAATAAAAGTCAAAGTCTAACCCACGTCTTTTATTCGACGAATGGCTTCTTAAGTGATAATAAAGCGGTATATGACCGCCTTTAAAAGACAAACGTTTTAAACGTGTCCGTCATCGTGCCTACTTTCCATAGCACGTTTCCCAATTTTCATTTCTTTTTTCTTTCTTTTTATAAGATTTGAGGATCGAAATTAGGGTCTTCCCATGTTTATCGTTATCAGTCGTGAATAATGGGTAGTATAAATTTTGTTAATTATATGTCGGTTAATGTGCTGATTGTTTTTTAAGAATTTGTTCATTCGAAGGTTTAATTTTAGGAAGCCAAGAAAAAGTTCGTGTCGTTTTATTCGATAGAAATGAACCTAAAAACGAAAGACACAACAGAAATTTTCTCGATTAGATAACAATAAGAAAACTGAAGTATATTTTTGTGGGTTAGGGTACGGATAAATTTAATGCGTGGTCTTTATGGGCTACAACTCAGGACTCCATACGAGTTCAAAAATAAAAATAAAAATAATTTCAATGAAAAACTGAAGATAAAATAAATTCTACAAAATAGCGAATGATAATTTCCACGATTAACCCAAACTTGAGCTAATTGGGTAGGCCTCAAAACAGTGTTTATCCGAGGCCTTTGGGAGGGTTCAAATTGTGAGCTTCTTACTAAAATTATTTTCTTTTTACAGGTACACCCTGGGCGTTATGCGAGTATGGCCAATCTTCAACTCCGTTGAACCAACAACAACAACTTCGATTCAAGCATCAATAACAAAAAAATGGTCTATAGAGGTAGCTTGCAAACAGATGATCCAAGAGATGCACCGAAATTGGTCAGAATGTCGCCACTTAGAACGAGCAGACCCAACGGTCCAGTTTACAACACTTTCGGAACTTCAACGCCAATTAAAAATGTTTGTCACGGACCTTACATCGGACCTATCGATGCAAACCGTGCTAAACTTATCGAGGAGAGACGATTAAGTCGTGAAAGAGACATCGAATCAATGGAGAAAGTGATTATGAGGACAACTGGATTAAAAGTAGGTGCACCTAAGCTTCGTAATATCAGTCAAATACGAGAAAGCGTGTTCGTTGATCCGGCATTGATGCCGATGGGTCAGATCGGTAGATCTGATGTTCGAGGTCGTCCAAGAACCATCGCGATTGGATTGGAAGAATCTAACGGTAGAGTTTCTAGAGTTCAAAGTTCAATGTTGGCTGATCTGAAAGACCTGGAACGACTTCGGAATACTCCGCCATCTCAAAGGAACGTGAAAACTACGAAGAAATTGGATAAACCTGAGATTAGAAGTTCTATGACAAATTTGAAAAAAAATTCAACAGGAAATCCGAATAAAATTCGATCGGATATTATGAAAATACAACAGATGTTCCAGATTCCTGATAATAATACCAAACCGGAGGTTAGGATTTCTCAAGAGAGGAAGTCGAGGGTCGAGCACGAGAAGGATGATAAAAAGTTGGCTGGGGAGATCAACAGGACACGTTTGCTGGCCCAAAAGCTCTTGGAGGCGTCTCGAAATAACCGAGACGCGTTGAAGGATCGTTATGGTAATACCAAGAACGCGTCCTCGAACAAACAACTACAAACGAAGGAAGTTAATGGTAAAGCTCCCTGTAAGAGTACCACCATTCAAGAAAAAAATCTTGACTCGAAGCAACCCAAGACCAAGACCAAGACCAAGACCAAGACTACACCAGTAACTATCACGACAACGACGACGACTGAGAAAATTGAAACGAGTTTGAACGAACCGCAACCACGACCACCAATTCGTAAAAGAAGAGACTCGAGGAGTCGAGTTAACGATGATACTCAAGTTAATCCTTTGGAAGAAGATCTTGATGATATTTCGAAACATTCGTTGAGTTTGTCCAAAGGATTCGACAACAATTGTCAAAATAATTCGAAATTTGTACAAGGATTGGATAGGCCGGATATATTGGATGGACTTTTGAAAGAATCCGATCAACAGCTGGAGGATTTGAAAATGGATTTAGGGGAAAGGGGAAGATCGAGAAGTCATTGGAGGGGATTTATACAATCGATGAGATTACACGACGTCGAATTACATTCGGATAGCGAGGATCAACGAAAAGGTAAGTAATCTTTGTTAAACAATCTAATATGAAATGAATATTCGTTGAATATTTGTAAATTTTGTTAGACATTTAACACATATTCCTAAGATACATATGTTTCTAAACTTATCTAAGGAGAATGAATTTTACTTGATGTTTGATTGGATTAGCAAAGTTAGCGGAGATGTTTAAAATGACGGTACAACTGGCGTGGCCATTAATCCCTTGGTTGGCCTGTGGCAACCCCTATTTTTAGATACCCCTACTCGTTCACTCGCTCACTAAGTCAGTCTCATTTACTAGTGTAGGTCAGGGTGGTGTGTGACTAACATATGTCACTACATATGGATTTGGCGGGTGAAACAACCACGTAACGTTTTCCTTTTCTCTTGTCGCAGGAAAAGACATGTAATGACAAGTCAACCGAGTCTAAGTTATCCTATTTCATTCCTCTATCTTGGTTTTACGAATTCATTTCTGGAAAATTAGAGCTATGATTAATTTCGTATCACGTCTTATAAACGTCCGTAACCTCCGTTTATATTCTCAAAAAGAGAGTAGAAAGGAAAAATGAAAGAAATAGAATATGGGGGACGGGGATACGAGGAGCCTGTTAATTTTATCTTCGTTTTGATACCTTAGCGATGAAAGTGCCGTAAGCTAAGCCAAGTTAAGCCGAGCCTTCTCCTTCGTTACTTTTTTTAGCTTTTAAGTATCCTTATCTACGACATTATCTAAATACACACGAATATACTCTATCTCTAGTTCGTTGCACGCAACGAGTTCGGATAACAGGATAACTTGGTAGACTTTCAATGTCTAACTATAAATCTTATCGGAAGGATGTTTCTCGTAGTGTCCTTTGAAACAACGTCGTGAGGAAGTTAAAGGAAAATTTGAATAATAAAAAATTGAAAAATATAAAGACGGTAAATATCTTTTATAGAAAATCTTAAAGATAAGATTCTCCGAGTATCTTTTAGATAACGGATAAAAATGTGAGATTAAGAAGTTTTTCGAAGTATCGTTTGCTCGATAATAATTGTTCGCAAATGACTCGGCTGAAGTTCGATCAATTTGGGTTAGAAATATATCAAAGGAAATGTTACTCTTCTCGTGGCTCATGTTACTTTCGAAGTTCATAGATGAACGCAACGTTCTACAGATCGTTCGTGGATCGGTTAAGCTCGCGGTTTTAATGTCACGTTTTCTTTAGGAACAGAAGGTCTCTCAGTGCGAATCACTCCGCATGCGGATTCTCACGAACTGAACTGAGGGAAAGTTTATTCGATAAATGAGAAGGACTTTAGTATACTAACATGGATTATATACACGAATATATCATATATGTGTGTGTATGTGTGTATATGCGTGCATGTATCTGTCGAAGGATGAGCAACGTACGTTCATTAATAGCTCGACGACACGCTATCATTTTTGTTTGTTGCTCGAGCGTTAAATTGCACTTGAGTCGCATCAATAATTACCTGACTAAATCGTGCTTTACGAATTTATACGATTTTTCTCTTTTATTTCTTTTTATTTTTCTTTTTTTCTTTTTCTTTTTCTTTTTAAATTAATTATTAAAATTATTAAATTATTTAATGCATTACACATATTACACTTTGTTCGATAAATTGCAAACGACAATATAATAACGACAATATATAATTATAAATAAATTAATAAATTTAACAAATCATTTTTTTTATACTATGAAATATAATTATCGTTCAACGCAAATTTCTGTAAATTGCGTACAAATATCTGAACTTTATATCCAACGATACAAATCCCTAAAACCTTAGACAAAGAAAAATAAAAATAGAACTAAAAAGAAAATAGTAGATAATAGGATACACTCTATGTTAAGTTGGTGGGTACCAAGCGATAGAGGTTTCCGGTTGCGATCGATCGGCACGTTTAAGTCATTTTTATCTATAAATGCGTTGTTTCCTCTCGGCACACATCCGAAATATCCGGATTCCCTTTCTCGGTAGGATATGGGTTGGAATGGTAGGATACTTCCCTATATCTATATACACATACATACATACATACATATATATATATATATACACACATATATAGGCGGTGTCGGCCCTTGCCCTTGAGTCTACGCCCTAATATTGATCTGAGTTCCTTTCCAGCCCCCTTCCCCACTATATTCTCACCACCATCACTATCACCATCACCATCACCATGGTGGTGGTGGCCTATGCTACTCGTCTATATTCTGCGTATCTCTACACACACATATACAGGGACATACATACGTACGTACAATGAAACGCATCGGCGTAACCCCTCTCTTCCCTTACCCCTCTACTCTTCTTTCTCTTCCTCCTCCTGTCTCACAACAGTACATAACCAATCGTTGGTACCATCGTGCCACCCATATGCCACCGATGTGTTTTACTCGACTCTCAGTGCAAACCTAGCTGTCAAACGGTCAACACTTTCCAGACGACCGAATCTATCCAGTTGTGAAACGTTGAATCGTCTTTATCTTTTCTTTTCTCTTGCTTTCTCTCTCTCTTTTTCTCTCTCTCTATCTCTCTCTGACTACTATCGTCCATTACGGCGCACGATAGCTCGCGCTCGATCCCTCCAGCTCGAAAAAGATGTCAGTACAGATGTGACCACGCGACTGGGATACACGCGTTCCGAGACCCTGCTCGAGATGATGGTTCTTTGCGACGTTTGCGATCAAAAAGGTAACAACGATCATCCTTATTTATATTTATCTACCTTCTATTTTCGAATATATATATGTATGTGTGTGTGTATGTGTGTGTGTGTGAATTTACGTAGGTAGCTACTTGTATCTTATTTTTTTATTCCTTATCTATTATTTTTATTCTTATGTACACGTGCCTGCATATATGTGTATACGTGTCTATTCGATAGCCCGGAAATTTCATATCGATTAATATTATTTTCTTTAAAACATCTCGGATAAATCTTAGATAAAAGTTGGTATGGGTTTTTTTTTTTGACAATTTTGAATAACGAAAAATTGTGGATATGTATATTTACAATAATATTTAATTAGATATCATTTTTATTAATCGAAACGAATTTTCAAAGCGATTACGATAAAACGTGAATGGTATGAACAATTTTCTAACTTAACATAGAAAAAAAAGGAAAACAGAAAAATTTTTGTCGGCACGAACTTATTCGTATTTTTTCAACGTGGTCTGGAAAACTTGTATAATAGAAAGAAAATAGACGGACAATTTTTTAATACGCCAACGTATACTTATGATCAACCTACGTGTATGTGCTGTATAGAAAGTGGGATATTTTGTGTGGAAGAGGGGGGAATAAAATAAAAACAAATACAGAAGAAAGATTAGATCCGATTGTCTTTCTGTTGAGTGTGTCAACATGGGGTAACATGTAATACCGAAGATTAATCGTTTTCCGTAAATCATTCAATTGTCTCTATCACACTTGGACTATAAGCTGAGTGCAGTAAACTCGTGTCACTGTTCAACTAGAAAGCAATACGTTCTTGTGACAATCATTATTCTTTTCTCTTCTAACTTTATATAGATTTTTATCTTCTTATATAAATATATATTTATTTATTATTATGTTAATATATATTTATTTATGTGTATTCTCATATTTTTCTTCAATTGTAAGATCTCTCGCGTGCATTAAAGATCTCTCTCGTGCAACTCGCACGAGGTGAACAACGTGTGCGTGTGAGTTTACCTGAGAAACGTGCACGTGCAACTGAGGAACTGGTTTGATCTCGAACTATGTGCCGCTAGATACTACTAGTTACCCCGTTAAAGGTTAACGGATTCCAATCGAAACGATTTCTTAGTTTTTTCTTTTTTTTTTTTTATAATTCTTATTCTTTGATTTATATATATATATATATCCACCCTTGGGGAATACAGATTAAATTATCTTCTTTCGTGATTGAATTTTGTACATTGAATCATCTAAGATTAGATTCTTTCTTGTTTACAAAGTGTTGTCACCTTACTCGTCCATGTTTAAACATTTAACTTCTTTCTTCTACGTCTCCAAATTCAATTTAAATTCTTATTAAATTATTCGTCATATCTTTATTTTTGAAAAAAAAAAAAAAAATATTCAACGATATTTTCTACATCGAAATTTGGCTTTAAAAAAGAAATTGATTTGTTTACGAAAAAAATAGAGAAAAAATGAATAATTTAAAATAATTAAATAACAATTAACTTAACGAAAAATCTAATTAAGAATTTGGAAGAAGAAAAAAATTGTCCAACGAGAGTATTTTCCTATCTCCTGTGCTTGTATTATCGAAACTATTTAAATGGACACGTTTAAATAGAATTAACCGACATTCCGATTGAAAGGGAAAGCGAATTATCTTGACCTTGAAAGGTTGAGAGAGGAGTCGACGAGGAGCTTCTAAAATCGATAGAGGATTCTCCTCCGTTTGCTATTCGTGCAACTTCGTCGTCTTTCTCCGCCAAATATCCGAATCTCCCGAAAGCAAAAGAGAAAATTTCGTGCAGCAGCTGCTACACGTTCGATGTGAAACGTGTGAGTTAAAAAGAAAAGAAAAAAAAAGAGAGAGGGAAAGGGAAGAAAATAAATAAAAGAAAAAAAGAAAAGAAATAAAAGAGAGGATTCATGGTGAACGCCTGACATTTTCACCCCATAATCATGCGTACCACCACGTAGAGAAACACGTTTATGAAACTCATACTTATGTACATACACGACACACACACGTGCGTATACATTTATACACATGCATAGATACTTAAGGTTACGTAACACATAGGGTGAAATCATTTAGACGTGCTTCCGTAAGCGCAAACGAATCGAATTTCCTTTATATCTCCTTATGGTGCTCGGTTTTATCGTTAAAGAATTAATCGTGTGCTGTGTTAAACTATACTTCTAACAATAAATCGACTTATTTACGCAAGACACCCTTTTACATAATTATCATTCTTCTCTTCGTCGTCATCGTTGTCGTCATCGTTGTCGATGTCGTCGTC